TTGTTACTGCTGTCTCTTTAGAGCTGGATTTTTTTTTCTCCTGGGGCTTGGTAAAAAGAAAAGAAAAGAAAAAAAACCACCAAAACAAACACTTCAACTTGGCACGCTTCACATTTCTTAACAGGAAGTTTCTGTTCTCTGTTTTACTGGTCAGGAGAAGGTTTTGTCCTTTTGACCACTTTGTCTTCCCTGTTCCCTGCCTTTGAAGGCAGAGTCCATTGCATTCTAATTTGCATCAGATACCTTGATAATCACAGTAGCACATGAAATAGCCACCACTAAATGTTGCTTTTCTTTGCTGTTTTATCTCTTGCAGGCTTACAAACTTACAAATGAGTTCCTGATTCATTTGGAAGGGGATGGCCAGTCTCTGTTCAGTGCTTATATTTAAAAATAAATTACAGCAGTGTTTTAAAACAGACAGCTAAGTTGATTTATCCTTAGGAAAACTGTCAACTCTGTATGCTACGTAATTGGACAGAATATTGGTTTCATTACTGCATAGATTTCTCTCTTTGTAACCTTTGCTGTAGAACCAAACAGCTTCTACTTATTGTAGTTGTAATAAGGATCTTGTTGACTTTTACTTAAGTTCGGAATGTGACAGGTCAGTACTAAAAGAACATCGACAAAAAACCCTAGCGTCACACTGTTGGCATAGTATGGCTGTGAAGCAACTGAAAATCACTAAGAAATGGTTTTCTTCTTTCATTATTCACTCATTTTAAAAAATTAAATATGATTTAAAAAGTCATATTACATAAAGAGGAGTTTTGAAGTGAGCTGTTTTGTCTGATGTTAGTTCATGTCTTTCAGATGCTAAGAGAAACCACTAGAAATATTTTATCTCTATAATTATGTAGCTGAATGTCAGTTGCAAGTGTTAGTATGTACACACAGATCTATTCACAGAATTTTACTTTCCTTTTGATTTCCTTACCACTGTGTTCTCTCCCTAAGCATCCTTGCAATTGTGATAAGTGATTTTAATTTTGTATCTTGTCCTCTGTCACCTCATAACTTATGTAGTGTTCTTGTTTATTAATAACATCGATATGTTGGTTTAGATTTAGCTATAGCTTAATCATTTATTTATTCTCAGTTTCTTGTCTTTTGTTTGGAGAGGCTTCTCTGCTGAAGATCTTCTGGTTGCATAACTTTTTCTTTATCTAAAAATGTCTTTATTTTATGTTTCTTTTTGACTCTCTTGATAGAATGCCTTGTTGATTATACAAAGCCCAGTTGTCAGATATTGGCCCCTCGTTTTGTGTTACCTGCTGTCTCCTAGTTACCTGCTGATTTAATTGTTATGTTTTCCCTCTGTGTTTATGCTTTCTCTTTGGTGTTTTGTGGTATCATATATAGGTGTGGTGTGGGTTTTTTTTTTAATATAATAGTTTATTTTTATATCATTTTGTTAGGCTTCCCATCACCAAATCACCCATGTGGCATCACCATAGTCCAGTGCACTTCCCCCTAACCCCCATTTTTGATCCCATTCCACCCCCATAAAATGTCTTTGGTATATAGTTCATTATTATTATTATTTTCTCCTGGTCCCTTGTACTCCTGCTATGAGTGAAACCATCCAATATTTTTCCTTTTCTTTCTGGCTTAGTCCACTAAGCATGATGCCTTCAGCTCCATCCATGTTGCTGCAAAAGGCACGTGTTTATCTTTTTGATTGCTGAGTAATATTCCATTGTGTGTATGTACCACATCTTTTTAATCCAGCCATCTACTTTTGGGCACTTGGGTTGTTTCCATGTCTTTCCTGTTGCAAATAAAGCAGCAATAAACATGGGGGTGCAGGTGTCTTTTTGAATCAGTGTTTTTGTGTCTTTTGGGTAGATACCTAAGAGTGGGATTGCTGGGCCATATGGAAGCTCCATTTTTAGCAGTTTGAGAAACTTCCCAACAGTATTCCATAGTGGTTGTACTAGTTTGCATTCCCAGGTGTGGGTTTTTTTTTAAGATTTTATTTATTTTTGCATAGAAGAACTGGGGTGTAGGGGGTGAGAGGTTTCACAGAGGATTTACTGAAATACACTGCTGGGGGGAGCAGCAGGTGAGACAGGAGAGGTCTGCTGTGCCCTATAGGTCACTCTCAGATGGGGGATTGAACTCAGGACACAGCAGGTGTGGGTTTTTAAAAGAAATAATTCTGCTGGGGACTTCTTGGTCTTCCTAAATTAAAGGACTATGTCTTATTTTATGTCAAACCCACTTACTGGGTTTGAAAAGTTTCTAGTACTCTCTTTGAATATTGTCACTACCCTGTCCCCTCTGTTGCTTTCAAACTTTGATCAAATGTGAGTGGATTTTCTCATTCTAGTGTCCATGTCTCTTGCCTTCTTTATTGTAGTTTTCACCCTTTGGTTTCCTGTGCTCCAGTCTGAGTAATTTCTAGTTTATCCCCCAGTGCACAAAGTCTCTCTTCAGCGATGTCTAAAATGCTTTGTTATTTATTGTTTATTGAGTTTTTACATATTAATTGTTAAGTTTTTTTAATTTCTAAGAGACTCCTTTTCAGTTTTTCTGGCCATTTATCACAATCTCTTGCTTCTTACTCAGTTCCTTCATTAATGTTTTAAATGAATTAAGCATAGTTTACAAAGTACCCTCAATTCCATTTCCTGAAGTTTTTATAGATCTGACACTATTTTTGTGGGTTTCTCTTTACTTTCTTGCCTTGGGATTTTTATTGATTTTTTTTCACAGTACCTTATTTCCTTATGTTTTATCATTTTTAGACTTGCGCTCATTTTTTTTGTTTTAAAGATTTATTTATTTATGCATACAGAACTGGGATACAGACGAGGTACAGGGGCGGTGAGAGGATTCACCAGAGGCAGAGCCGGGAACAGAACAGGCAGATCGACGAAGTACACTGCTGAGGGGAGCAGCGGGCGGGCCAGGAAAGGTCTGCCTCGCCATGTGGTCACCTCCGGGGCAGGCGGGGATTGAACTCATGCAGAAGTGGTTTTTACATTCTCAGAACTGTGCTTTAACCCGCTGCGCCACCAGGGAGGGCCAACTTGCGCTCATTTTTGTTGGAACTCTAGCTGCTGGGATACTTATGTGCCTGGCCTGACAGTGTTTTTTTGAGTGATGATTTATATTGGCTTCTGATAGGTACTAGGTACCTGTTTCATTTAAATTTTGGTTCTTATACAAGTAGTGTAGCTTCCAAACTTGGGTAAGGTTTTTTTTTTTTGTAAAATACATACTCTAAGGCAAAGATGAGACACACATTTTTTCTTGCTGTCCTCTCAAGTTGGCTCTTGCGCTTCTTAATTCTCTTTTCCCATGAGTCTATGGAACTTCCAGAGCCTTCAGTTTTTGGAGATGATCTTCAAGTTGCTTCTCTCCAGATCCATATCCCAAACTCGTCCCTCAGTCCCTGTGGCCAAAGCGCCAGGCCACCTGGTCCAGTCCCCATAGGCTGCCTGGTGACTTCAGGACCTGACAACCTCCCTGACAGGACACTCGATTCCCACACTCAGTACATGTCCCTTATTGTCATGCAGCTTATCCAGTCATTTGAAAGGATGTTTTTGAACTTTCATTAAACATTCTTAAGTGTTATAAAATGGGAAGGTTTGAGATCTCAAGTCAGCTGTATTGCCAGGAATAGCATAGAAATGATTCACTTAAAAAAAAAAAAAAACTATGAATTTAAGATGATCTCTATCCAGCTTCACACACATGTGTTCCGATAGGTTGTTTGGAGAAGAGAGGGGAGGATTGTCATGGGCGTGATGGCTGCTGAGTGCCAGAGCTGCTCCGTGGGTGGGTGAGGAATGTGGGTGTTTGCTGGGTGATAGGATTCTGGCGGAACTCGCCAGAACTTGGTCCTCAGATATTGTCCGTTCATTCAACAGATATTTATCGAGCACTGACATATCATACGCTGTTCCAGACACCAGGAAACAGCTCACCAGTGCCTATCCTCAAGAACACACGCTATAGTGGGCAGACAATTCATTTTCGCAGCACAACAGCATGACTCTGACAGGTAGAAGCCTACGTGGTAGCCACCTACTTGCTTCTGCAGGGCCAATAGGAGCCACCCAGGTGGCGAGCCAGGAACAGCATCTTAGGCAGAGGGAGAAGAACGTGCAGCCTCCGCAGGAGAATGGGCAGACGCACTTCGGATTAGGGACCGTCAGAATCCAGACTGGAGTTTGAGGCTGTGAGAGGGGAGCAGGGAATGCTGGGAGCCCAGAGGTGGTGTCTGGGGTCCCCCAGGGAGCCTGTCCTACCTGGTAGTGAGCGATGCGGGACTTGTCTCGTGGCTTGAGAGCCAGCGACTCCGGAGGAGGCAGGCCTGGGCTCAGGACTCCAGGCCTTGCTTGTCCTACAGTTGATTTAGTTCTCTTCTCTGACCCCCTCTTTCTCATGTGACCAATGAGAGTGAGTAGGACTAGACAACCTAGTGTCTAGGGGGGCTGCTAGAAAGAGAAAAAACCTATCACACACCCGTAAGTGAAGGTGTGCTCAGTTTATGACTATTTGTAGACATCGCCATTTATGTTCATCATCCTATGTTGTTCTGGCAATTTCTTTCTTTTTTTAAAGATTTTATTTATTTATACATACAGAACTGGGGTATAGGCCAGAGGTGCAGGGGCGGTGAGAGGATTCACCAGAGACAGAGTAGGGAGCAGGACAGGCTGAACAACGAAGTACTTTGCTGAGGGGAGCAGTAGGCAGGTCAGGAGAGGTCTGCCGCGCCATGGGGGTCACCTCTGGGGTGGGGGAACTCAAGTGGAGGCTGCTGCCAGCTTGCAGTGCTGTGCTTTAACCCATGCGGCACCAGGGAGTGCCTGTTTTGGCAATTTCTGTCACCTAAATGTTTGTCTTCTCTCAGTGCATAGTCCCAGTGAATGGATGTTTCAATATCTCAAGCAAAACACAGTGAACCCCACTGGTAACTAACCCAGCTTTTGTTTTCTTTGCAGATGAGCCGTCTGTGGAGCAGCCCACCCCGTCCTTCTCCTCTGTGGAGCTCATGCCCCAGAACAGCGCTGAGCTGGGCTCTGCACATGTGGCCTTAACAGCACCCCCACCCGGGTCTCCGCTTAGCAGCCCTCTCCACACCACGTCATCTCCACCCACCACCACTTTTGATACGAACTTTCTTAATCAAGGAAAACTGACCCCAAGTACCACCGATCCGGGCATCTTTGTGACAGATCACGCATCTGTGATGAGCAACGAGGTGTTCATAGATGATGACGAAATGGATAACTTTTTGCCAGAAACCCACTGGACCACTTCCCGGGGCGGTTCTCCAATCAGGTCTGTCACGGTCAGGGTGCCCGGGCGGCCCAGGGCAGCCTTCAGCTCTGGGCCGACTCCATCATTACCCATCACATCTGTGCAGGATAAAGACGTGACATCAGTCTGGCAGGTCTCAACGCAGCAGACAGCAGTAGATGAGCCCCCCAGTCACCCCAACACCTCCCAGCCCTCTCTTCTCATCTCCGATGGCATGATTCTGACTCCTAGTCGGAATTTGGTGCTTTATCCTGCTGACACTTTCGGGCAGATGTCAAGCAGGACTTTGCTGGAGGTCGGGGCTCCGGGGCCAGAGGCTGTAGAAACCTCCCCTTCCAGCCCCGGATCTTCCGTGCCTCAGACTTCAGGGGGTAGCATGACCCCACCACCGCCGGGGGAAGCCTCACAGCCTCCGGGGGACGTCCTGGCCTTGACAACAGGCAGCCCCCCCCGTGTGACCCCCACTTTGAGTCAGAGTCTACAGGAAACCGTCTCTTGGAGCACATACTCTGCTGCTGGGGCTCAGCCAGCCCCGACTTTGAGCAGCCGCTACCACCCACATTTGGCTTCGTTTCCAACTCCTCTCTTGTCTGTAAATTCTTCTGCTCCATCAGTGGATGCTTCCTCTCCCCCCCTGCTTCCCAGCAGCCCCAGTGAAATACTGCACTCGCCCTCCGTGACGCTGGCCCCAGGCCCTGCGGGTGACACTGACACGCTGTCTTCACCCAGACCCTTGACATGGTGTGTGTCCTGCTCGCCGGCGTCCCCTCACCACGGCCCGTCAGCCAGCCTCCTGGAGAAGGACGTGGGGTCGGGGGACGGCGCAGAGACTCCGGCCGTGCTCCTGCTGGAGGCCAGCAGCAGCGTCTCTCTTCCGAGCAGCTTGGTGGCCGACTTCTCGGAATTTGAGGAGGAGCCTCAAGTATTTAACACACTGTTTCCCACACGGCCTGTTGTTCCCCTTTCTTCTCGACCTGTGGACATGGCGGAAACCAGCACTGGTGTTTCGGGCCAGGTGGGTGTGGATGGGGCTCTGACCACCCTGGTGGATCCTGCCCCGGGCCTCCCGCCTACACCAGTGACGCTCGAGGCCCCGTCCTTTGTCTCCTCCTCTGTCGCGCTGTCCAGTGGGACAGCTGTGTTGTCCTCAGTTGTCGCCAGCGCTCCCCTCGACGCTCCCCTTGACGTATCTTCCCTCATCACAGCAAACAAAATCATTCCATCGCTGCCTCTCAGTCCCCCAAGCCTTTCCCCACTGTATAGTCTGGGTCCTTCAGGAGAGTCCTCCCTGTTCTCTGACCCACAGCCCAGCAGTTTTTCCAGACATGAAACTGGAAGCGTCTTGGATTTTGCGTCCAGCTTTTTCTCAACCCCACTGCTGGACCTCAGCAGCTCCGGTCCTCCCCCTTCACTACCGGTTTCGTCTCCCTCTCCAACGTCTAACGACTTCGCTTCTCAGGCGTTTCCTACCTTGGTTGAGACGTTTACACTGTCTGACTCCATCACCCCACAGCCGCCTCAGTTCTCTGTTCCTAACTCCACAGACCTGGAATTTGCTCTGCTCTGGCCAAGCTCAGGCCTGCTTTCCACGTCGTTCAGTTTTCTTTCCAGTTACTCTGAATTCTCCCCACAATCCAGCATCCTCCCTGAGTCTCTGCTGGTCTCAGAAGCGTCCACAGTTTTGCCGACAGAGTCTGAAGCCCATCTTACCTCAGCTTTCACTGAAACTACCTCCTCTTTTGAGTTTGCACTCACGCCCCAGGAACCTGCCATCTCCACACTGGTGCTCCCCAGCTCGGAGCCCCTCCTCACCATTTCGACGGCCAGAAACCACCTCACCTCACACTTGACTGCTCTCCCCACGAAGCCCCTCTCAACTCAGTCTTCTCTCTCTTCAACGTGGACGCCTTCTGACGACATCAGCGCCCTCGACGGCCACATGTCCACCTCGTCCTCCTTTAGAGCCATCTCCTCCACTGTGGCACTGGCCTCCACCGTGTCCCCAACGCCGGCCTCCTCGTTAGCGTCTGAGGCGAGCCCCTCAGCATTCCCGACGGAGCCGGTGTTCGACAACGGCCCGTCACTCACGTCACTCACGCCGGCTCCTGCCCCCGGGAACGCCTCCGCGGGGCCGAGCTCTGCGGACGCCGGTGAGGCGCCTGATTCTGCGGTGCCCACCACCTTGAGCGGGCCCACGGAGAGTCAGGCTCCCCACGAGGACAGCCCAGCGTCTCCCCCGCCATCCCTTCCCCCTGGAGCCACCCCCACGCCGGAAGCCACGGCAGACACCCCGGCGCTGCTCACCACCAAGCCACCCTACCTGTGCGATATCACGGTGCCCGACGCCTATCTCATCACCACAGGTAAGGCCCAGCGTCGTCTCTTCTGTGGTGGGGATGGTGCTGCTGAGGGGCTGCTGTAAGATGCAGCCACTGCGTTGGGGTTCAGGGTGCAGGCTTTGGACCCAGAGATGAGTTGCACTTTTGGCTCATTTCCGGAGTTCCTTGGGGGTCGAGCGTCTCAGAGCCCCAGTGTCCTCCACTGTCACGTGGGGTGATGGTGGCGTCTGCCCTGTTGGGCTATTGGGAATATGTTTTTCACAGTAACATATTGTGCATATAAAATACTGAGCACAGTGGCAGCCACAGAAGGAGCACCCAGAAAACATTACCAATTGATAATAGCAGTCAGAATAAAGATTTATTTCCTTATTTCCTAGATCCCCAAAAGGCAGGTTTATTGTAAAAAGGGGAGGGGAGGCAGAGACACGCGTCAGACTCAAGCTGGCAGGAGGAGCTGCCCCCCAAAGGGGCAGGTTTGTGAAAAGAAACACCTGACGGGGCCCTCCATGGTGGCGCAGCGGGTTAAAGCAGTCATTATGAAGCTCTCCGAAACCACCGCAGCACTAGCTCGATCCCCCGCCGGGGAACTGACCCACAGGGCGCAGCAGACCTCTCCTGACCCACCTGCTGCTCCCCTCAGCAGTGTACTTTGTCGATCTGCCTGTTCTGCTCCCCACTATGTCTCTGATGAATCCATTCACCCACTACACCTCTGGCCTGTACCCCAGTTCTGTAAGCATAAATAAATAAAACTTTACAAGAAGTTATTAAAATAAAACAAAAAACACCTGATCGTCACAGGTGGGGTGGGCAGGAGAGCTGCAAATAGAGATTTAAACCAGCCCGATAAGGGCCTGCGGGGACCTCTGTCTTCGGGAGAGGCACAGGGGCAAGGGCAGAGAGAGCCCTTTGGGTGTTCAGAGCCAGCAGTTAGTTGGCAAATGCGTAAGCCGACCATGGCCGTTTCTCACTCATTTATCCTTTTGCTTAAAAGGAGGGGAGCTTGGCTCTTTCATATTCCGGTGAGTGCCCCTCGGAGCCTGAGGGAGACCAGGGAGTGGCTTGTTAGCCCTGATTCAGTCTCAGGCCTTGGCCTTGTCGGGTCTGCAGCTGACTTGATGCAGGCGCCAGTGGCAGTCACAGGGAGTCCGGTGGGCTGTCGTGTCCGCACGGGCCCAGTGGCCCCACCAGGTCAGGCTCCCAGCTTGGTCTTCACGAAGCCCGGTGACTTGTTAGACTGGGCTGAGACCCAAGATCACACTGGTGAGCAGCCCGGCTGTGAGTGGGCCCAGGGTGACCGCGTCAGACGTGAAGGAGGGAAAGACGGCAGGCAGGGTAGAGGCGAAATAGAGTGGGGAACGGTGGGGCAGAACAGGGAGAGGAGGCGTGAAGAAGGCCTTTCCTCTCCATGCCGGGGAAGGGGCCCCGGATCCCTGCTTACCACAGCCATGCCCTCACCCGGTAGGGAGGGGGGATTGGAAGCCGGCCAGCCACTGTTCTCTTGACTCCTCTTTTTTTTTTTGAAGATTTATTTATGCATACAGAACTGGGGTACAGGCCAGAGGTGCAGGGGTGGTGAGAAGCTTCACCAGAGACAGAGTGGAGGAGCAGAACAGGCAGATAGACAAAGTACACTGCTGAGGGGAGCAGTGGGCGGGTCTCCCGTGCCATGTGGGCAGCTCCCTGCTGGGGATTGAACTCATGCTGCAGTGGCATTGGCTATCCTCATAGTGCTGTGTTTTAACCCCTTGCACCACCAGGGAAGCCCTTCTGATGCCTCTTTCAGATGATCTGGGGTGGATTGGGAGGGTTGAGATTGGAGGTTCACATTGAAGCCTGAGAGGAAGGCTGTCTTCTGGAGACGGAGGGGTGTGTCCTGCAGGTGGAGGGGGTGATCGCAGGTGGAGAGGTCACACAGCCAAGGTCACTCAGCTCCACCAGTTATTACACTCAGCCAAGATGTTGGGTCACAGTGGTGGACTTGGGCCAGTGGGGTTAGGATAGTGGTGGGGGTGTGGAGGGCAGAGAGAAAAGAGCTTGTCACAGAGGGGCCTGGTGATGTCCTTCCCAAGAAATTACACAGCAGAGTGGTCAGTGACCAGCAACCTCTTCTTTGTCCCCGGGACTCTGAAACATGCTATTTGTAGCTGTGCTATTGTACCTTTTGGAATTTTTGCAGAAGTATTTAGTAACCACTTGGAAGTATCTCGAAGGCTATCAGGTGTGATATGGCGAGGACTGACTTTCATCTGTGACAGATGTTTAATGAATCTGGTGCCCCTTATTTAATAGCTTGGGGGGTACAAGTCACCCCCTGCAGACCTACAATTCAGTTTCAGCAACTGCAGGAATGGGCGTCTCCTGCCAGGGTAGGGTGTATTTATTTGTAAGGCCAGGAGAATGCCCCCTTTGTCGTCCCCCCTCCCTCCATCTTTGACTCAGAAATGTCACCTCATCTAGAATCCTCATTTAAATATGACCTTGGCATCTTTGGTAGTAATTACCTGTCAGAGTCAGAGAGCCAGAGACAGACTTGGTCGAGGCGGCTCCTTGTCCTTGAAGCTGCTTTCTGGGGAGCGCTGTGATAAAAGCGAGACTGAGTCCCGTGCATCCAGGAACCCACAAGCACCCCAAGATGCTGCTGCACCCAGTACCTCCCTGCCCCGCCTCTTTTCTGCTGGCTCCGGGGAAACTAGATATTTGGAAAAACTGTAGGACACTTACTTGCTGGCCTCCCATCATTCCCAAAACTCTTGCTCACATCCCAGGTTGCAGTCTCAGACTCACAGGGACTAATTAGAGATGGTGGAGGCTGCGGGGCTGGGTTTGGGGACCATTCAGAGGCGTATTTGCAAGACCCTTTGGTACAGCGTCACTTACGATGTCCGCCACTTACCGGTGTCCGTCACTTACCCAATGTCCGTCACTTACTGATGTCTGTCACTTACTGATGTCTGTCACTTACCCAAGGTCTGTCACTTACGAGTGTCCATCACTTACCCGATGTCCGTCACTTACTGATGTCCATCACTTACCGATGTCTGTCACTTACTGATGTGCTTTCCTCTGTCTGTCTCTATTTCCCGCTCGAGAATGGCTTTCTCCCTTTGGTCTTCCCTTCGCAACCTCCCCTGCTCTTCCTTCCCTTCCGATCTTTTTTGTTTTCTCTTCCCTTTGAGGTGCTGGCTCTTCCACGCAGAGCCTTAGCTCTGGATTTGTCCACCTTGCCAAAGAAATTCTCCCACCTTTTGAGCTCAGAGTCACTGATCTACAGGGAAAAGCCACCAAATGTAGATTAAACATGTGTTGTTTTTCTTTTATAAAGAATGAAAGATGCAGTTTTAAAATTAGAGCAGGGAATGGAAAACTGAATAGTAATAAATGAAGGGTGAGTCAGCATTATGAGCAGTTAGTGGACTAGGAAAGAAAAGATAATGGGGAAAAGAGGGGCAGGATATGCTTGTGGAAGACTGAGAAACAGGATGCGTGTTAGGGTTTTTAAATAGAAGTTTTTAGATTTGGAAGGAAAGTTTAAACATAGCTAGACTTTGTCATAAGACATATTTTCTTTCCTACATCAAATGTTAATATATGAGGATCATGAAAATCCTCTTCCCCGCTAGTAGAAGCACAAACCCTTCACCTGCGACCCTGAAATGTTGGGGGTAGGAAACCTCTTTTTTAAGGTGTTATCTATTTTTGTTCAGTATTATCTTTTTTTTTTTTAAAGACTTATTTAGTCGTACAAGAACTGGGGTACAGGCCAGCAATGTGGGGATGAGAGGATTCACCAGAAACAGAGTGGGAACAGAACAGGTGGAGTGACCAAAGCACACTGCTGAGGGGAGCAGCGGGGGGACTGGAGAGGTCTGCCGGCCGTGTGGGTCACTCCCTGGGTGGGGATCGAACTCAGGCTGCGGTGGCTGCCCACAGCTTCATAGTGCTGAGATGTAACCCCTGGTGCCACCAGGGAGGCCCTATTTCTGTGGAGTATTATCCTAGGGCTTTTTACTGCTGGGATTTTTTTTTTTTTTTTGAGGCTGTTGTTTTATCCTAGGGGTACAGCCAAGCAAACCCAGGTATTAGCTGGATGAACAGGAGAGCCCCAGGCCCTCTGCCCACTGCATGGGCCAGGACCGTGGGTTCCTGGTCCTCACCCTCCCAGGCAAAGTTAAGGGTTTTCTGAGCATGTGGAGCTAAGGCTGCGCACAGCTCCCAGGCAGCTGCTCCCTTCCTTCCTGGCTGGGGCCTTCTCTTAAAGTGTGATCCCTGCAGCTGTTAGCTTACGCAGGTTCCGCCAGCCTCCTCCCGAAGTGCGATGCCCACTTTCCTCATAGCAACACTAAACTGCCCTTGGTGGCTGCCTTTGGTTTACAGTGCTGGCCAGGAGAGCCGTGCAGGAGTACATCATCACGTCCATCAAGGAGGTTTTGAGGATTCACTTCAACCGCGCGGTAGAGCTCCAGGTGAGCCCCGGGGGCTGCAAGGGGTGTGGAAGCCTGGGTCGCGTGCAGGCACGTGGTGATGCTGGGGAACCTCTCCCCTGTGCCCTCCCTCCTGGCCGCACCCCAGTGTCCCTTCATCAGGGAAACCCTTCCTGAGCCCAGCCCGGCCTAGTGGAATCCACCGGCGGGGAGTGTTGGTAGCGTTGCAACAGAGAGGCTCAAAGACCAGGCTCGGGGTGGTGACCCAGGCATCCCGCCTCCCTGGACTTACACGAAAGAACTTGGATGAGAGCGTCAGGTAGATTTTGGAGTGACTGTCCTGGTATATTCAGTGAGGTAGGGATAGAACTGCGGCTGTTATGTCCTGGCCCCGGGTTTGTGCCTCTTCTCCCTGGGAGCTCAGACAGCCACACTCTACCTGCACCGTCCTGAGTGGAGCCACCGGGCCACTGAGTGTGGGATGTGGGGTTCAGACACGTGGTGTGCTGCAAGGACAAAATATGCATCAGCTCTCCAAGACTTTGGGGGGGGGGAGGAATAAAAAATATCTCCTTAGTAATTTTTTGCACTGCTCCATGTTGAAATGCTATTTTGGGTACATTGGGCCAAGTCAAATATATATAAAATTAATTTCACCTGTTTCTTTTATTTGCACTGTGGCTACTAGAAGTTTAAAAATCACATGTGTGGCTCTTATTTCCTCTGGGCAGCCCTGCTCAGTAAGATAGGTAAGATAAACCCAACACAGAATCTCCAGCCCTGCAGAGCTCTGTGTTCAGCTCAGATACTGGCTGTTCTCCTTTCTGTCCTGGCTTTTGTACTTTTGTGCTATTTTCTGGGAGGTTGGCCGCTGTGTGAAAGGGGTAACTAAAATAAAATTGCATTGTGAAGTGTGATTCCCCTTGTTTAAAGCCATTTATATCTTACCTAGTTACTTAACGCTTTTCCTACTCAATAGAGCAGCCTGGAGATTTCTTGAATCACAGTAATCTCAAATTTTGATAATTATTGTCTCCTGTATCTTATTTTTGTAGGTTTATGAGCTGTTCGCTGACTTTACGTTTCTGGTAACATCCGGTCCTTTCGTTTACACGGCAATATCAGTCATAAATGTCCTGGTCAATAGCAAACTTGTCCGAGACCAAACGCCTTTGATCTTGGCTGTGAAACCTTCCTTCCTTGTGCCAGAGTCTCGGTTCCAGGTTCAAACTGGTGAGAAAGCAGTCTTGTTGATTGATTGGGGACTTGTCAATAGAATTTTAGTTTATTTTCATTTTTATTTATTTATTTTACAGATTTATTTATGCACACAAGAACTGGGATACAGGCCAGAGGCGAGGGGGGGAGGGTTGAGAGCATTCACCAGAGACAGAGTGAGGAGCAAGACAGGCAGATCTGCTGCAACACACTGCTGAGGGCGGCAGCAGGTGGGCCAGGGGGTGTCTGCTGCGCCATGTGGGTCAGCTCCTGCCCGGGGATGGAACTCAGTCCGCAGTGGCTGCTGATAGCTTCATAGGGCTGCGCTTTAACCCACTGCGCCACCAGGAAGGTCCCTGCTTCTTTTATTTCTCCACCAAGTTTTTCCTGTGAAAGTAAGATTATTTTTTTTTTTAAGATTTATTTACTTATGCATATAGAACTGGGGTACAGGCCAGAGGTGCAGGGACAGTGAAAGGATTCCCCAGAGACAGAGTGGGGAGTAGAATAGGCCGAGTGATGAAGTACACTGCTGAGGGGAGCAGCGGGCGGGCAGGAGAGGTCTGCCGCGCCATGTGGGTCACCTCTAGGGTGGGGATCAAACTCATGCTGAGGTGGCTTTAGCTTCTTAGTGTTGTGCTTTAACCCGCTGCACCACCAGGTAGGGCCAAAAGTAATAGTATTTTAAGATAACACCAGCTACCATGTCATCGCACTTATACACACTGAGGAATTACTCTCTGATGCATTTAGGTATGTTTGAAAATATCTCAGTTGTATCTTCTGACGCTTACGTTATTCTGTATTTTTCCGTTTTAAAATGATGCGAGTTGCTTGAACTTGCATATGTCCGCTCGTTCCTGAGTTGATTTTCTACATTTCCATGATTGGCTCATAGACAGCTGTAATACTTTGTCACGTGCTGCGGCTGACTTCGTTATTCAGAGGCCGTTTCCCCCGCTCTTCACTCCTCTGTGCTAAAGATGCCCCCGGCTCACGCTGTGGCCTCTGCTCTTTCAGTGCTGCAGTTTGTGCCTCCGACCGTGGACACGGGCTTCTGCAACTTCACCCAGCGCATGGAGAAGGGCCTGTTGATCGCCCTGTCCGCAGTGAGGAAGCGCCAGCCGGGCACATATAACCTCACGGTGCAGGTGAGCAGCAGGAGAGCCCGCCAGATGCTTTAGCCTTTAAAGAGGGGATGCTTTTCATAATCTGCCTTCCCTGTGCACTCAGCTCTCACTAATCCCCTCTCCTGGGAGGGCTGGGTTCACGTGGAACAGGCCGCTCCTGTCTCGCAGTGTCCACAGTGATGGGGGGAGGGAGTGACGGGGCTCAGCGTCTTTGAAGACTGCAGGGGAGCAGGAGAATCCGGGAGCCCTGATCCAGTGAGCAGGGGCGACCCTGTGCAGGACAGTTGGTCGTGGCCAGCAAGGACACAAGGCCAGCTTGCAGGTCCCCTGGGGAGGGGGCCTAGAAACCTCATGTTTCGTGTTTTGAAAATCTGTGAGCTGCAGCGGGTCCCTGGAGGAGCTGCGGCTGGCTGCGAGGATGGGCGTTGGCGTGCCGTGTGGAAACTGCCGCTGTTTGGCTATTTCTTTGGTATTTTCTTCATAATCTTTGTTCTCTCCCCCTGGAATTCATTTTAAATTCATTTTGGTGTTCCTGGACTCACTTTCTGTCTTTCTGACTTTGTCTCCTCTTTTCCACCTATTTTTGATTCCTGCGATTAGAGATTTCCCAGGGCTTGTCCGCCACGTCCTGAGTTTAGTCTTCGGCTGTGTCCACGATGCTCTCTAATCCCGCTGTTGCATTTCTTGTGCTCCTCGTGGCCGGCCCTCTGCTCCCGTCTCGTGGTCGCCTTTCCGGCACTGACACAGGGTCACGTGGGATGATGGTGCACGGGCTCCTCGAGAGCCAGAGGACACGACGAGGGCGCTCCACAGCTACGTCTGTTTCCTCTGCAGCCACTGTTCTGTGTGTCCATCTAAGTCCTTTGTGCAAATGCTGTCAGTCTGCCAGATATGTCTGCAGTTGCTTGTTGTAGGCAGGTAGAGGCCAGTCCTTCCTCTCTGCAGCTCATTCGGCAGAGGCCGGGGGATCCCCTGATGGGAGAGCTCCCTGGAGCACTGGCCGGGGGGCTTCTCTCCCAGGGCAGCTGTGGTCAAAGGCAGGTACACTGGGCCCTGCGCCCTTGTGCAAGAAAAGGACACACACTTCTGAGCACAGAGCACGTCCGAGTAGTTTTCGCCGTGACTCTGCCCCGTCTTTCCTCCCTTGCCCTCTCGGCCTTGTGTGCGTGGGGGCTCTGGAGCTACCCGTCTCTACCCACCTTCCCGTGGGGGGCCAGACCCGCCGTCGGGCTCTCGGCCCTTCAGGCAGGTAGCTCACGCCCCCTGGGAGCAGTTCTGGGGCGAGGGCGTGGCCGTGCCATCTGGCCGCGGTGTGTCCGTCCACTCGTTGGCCCACCCTCAGTCCCCCGATCTCCACGGAGGAGGCTCCCACAGGGCCCTTGGGGACCCCGTCCTGTCTCCACCTCCCAGAAGTCCGACACAATGCCAGATTTCTTCCAGTCTCGGTGCTGCTGTGGATTTATCCCCCTTTGCTTGGCTTCTTGGTGTTTCAGTGGGATTTGGGGTCGGCAGGACTGCAAATCCACACGCTCATCTCATTACTTACTGTGGAGAAACATGTCGAAGTACTGCAGAAGGGAGCCAAGTCGTACACCAGTTACTCTTCCTTTTAGCGCGTTACCTCCTGGACACAAGACAGACAGAGAAGCTGTGGGAGACAAGTTCAGGCAAGCGTTTACCAGAGCCCGTAGATTGGCTTTGGAAGCTCATCCTGCCCTCTTCTTTCAGATCCTGAATGTCACCGTGGCTTCGCCCCGCGCGGCCCCTTGGCGCGGCCCGGTCAGCATCGTCTTCGCCGTTCGCGGCTCGCAGGGCCTTCTGAGTGGGTGGGAGGTGAGCGAGCAGCTCAGGAACCTGACCGTGGTGGAGTTCAGCTTCTACCTGGGCTACCCGGTGCTGCAGATTGCCGAACGTGAGTACTGTTTCTGCAGGTGCTGGGGTGACCGCCGGTGCTTCTGTAGGCGTTCTCAGGTGCCGCCCCTCTCTTTCCCGGCTAACAGGTGCTGTTAGAGAGGGTAGCAGTTCTGGAAAAGGTAAAACCCGAGTGGTGGAGAACAGACGTTGGTTGCCAGGGTGACGGATGGGAGGAAGCTAGATGACAGGACAGCAGACGGCAGTTTGGGGGGTGACCGGGGTTCTGTGTCTTTTCAGGTGGTTACGTGACTATACGTTTCTCAAAACCCACAAAGCCGTACACCCCAAAGAATAAACGTTA